TCCTGCTACTGGTTTGAAAGCAAAGGGGTGTTAATAAGAGGTGTTGGTTTGAGTAAACATAAAGGTTAAGAATACACCTTTGTGTCTTTCGAGAGATCTGAAGCGTCAGTCTAAGCTATCTGTCCTTTCTCATTCTTGATAAAGGGCAGGACCGTCCACAGGATACAGGCAGCGTACCTTGGGTACTAGATGCCTTTCACAGCTCCCCCAAAATTTTTACTTGCCGTGTAGTGCAAGGTCAGTTTATGTAGAAAAGAAATGCGCTTTACAATCACTTACCATTTGCTTTCAGCGAATGCCAGATCACGTCATTCCTTCTGAATATTTCTCGATATTACCGTTCGAAGACATGAAGGATCGCAGTGGTAAACAGAACAGTCTTGTAACAATGCAAGTTAGCATGATTTTTGGGAACATTTTTACTCAGTGACAGCTTGGCCAAACTTCGGGAACTTATCCATTACTATACTCTAGTTCCGTATAGTCTAATTTGCTGCCATGTTTGTTAGAACCACATTTTGACATTTTGGTACTCTTTTTTAAGTGTACTTTTTTCCTTTTTAGATTTTCCCTCTGGAATACGATGATGGGAACTTCATTGTTAGCTATGCCTTGGGCACTGCAACAGGTTACTTTCTCATTACTTATCTGCATTCTAGTAGTCTGTCTTCGTGTTAGCGACGCGACTAGTGGAAGCATTTTTCTATGCAAAACCTTTCGAAGGTTTACGATGTTCATCTATTTTACAGGCTGGATTATTCTTCGGGCTTTTTCTTATGTTGTCATTTGGACTGCTTTGTTTTTACACCGCATACCGAGTTGTGGATAGTCCACGAGGCATAAGTAAGTTGTTAATAGATCACTTACACTACATATAACGAAAGTAGTACGTGGTTGCGTACTTCTTTTCATCATGGCGTCAGATGCGCTCTTGGGGAGATATCCATTTGAGACAGGTCACCCTGTACGGATTGCAATTGTCACAAAACGGCAATATTGTTCCAAAGGCGCAGGCGTTGACACGACCAAGGACCTATCTGCCATGCCCTCTCCGGGATATGGACTGCTCGAAGACGAGCTGTACTTTCCTTCCTTGGATATCGTTCCTTGCAATGTGCAAGGAGAATGGTTTTATAGCTACAGTAGTGTGTCCTTTCTTTACTGAAAATTGCACGGGAAAGAGCTGGAGGGCAGTGACACCTGGGTGCCGTCTTTGAGGTACACTCACGCTGTCACGGTGCAGCACTTCCGTCGATACCGAATCCTGCGGCAAACATGCATTTAGAAGTAGAGAACAGCCAAAGGTGAGAGTACTGACAAGGGAACCCCAACAGGTCGACCCGGCCATTTGCAATGAGAAGTAGGTATATGGACGTATCTCGAGCCGCTGAATCCAAATCTACTCTCCGTTTTTGCGGAACGATTCTCTGAACGGAGTTACGGACCATCAAATCTTTGCTCGTTGTATAAGTTGAGAGGGATGGTTGCTCACGGCAGGTCGCCGATGGCCTAGTGGATAAGTGCACTGATTCAGGAACACGATGTCGCATGTTGGAATCCTTGACACTCCGAACATTTTTGCTTTTGTTCAGAACATTCCATACGAGTCCCCAGAACACTTCTGTTTGGCCAGTTGACTTGAATCTCTGATTATTTGACAATAGAAGCGATCATTGCTCCATCTGTTACACCTGAAAACTTGAATGAGAACTCCAGTGAGAATGACCGTTTCTAGAGCTCGCATCGAGGAATGGAGAAGGTCGCCACTACTACTAGGGAAGGTCGTCAGGTCCAAGTGGCCATTCGTAATGAAATATAGTTCACTAGACGTGGTTTTGGACGCTGATCTCGAATCTGCCTTCGAAATTTGCAGAACGATTCTCTGAACGGAGTTGCATTTAAATTCTGTGGGGAATGTCTCTTTTAAGTCTAGAATGCATTCAAACGTCAAATGGGTGCCATATTCGTGTTCAGGGAGCAAAATTACCCTTTGGGGACAGGTTTCTAGCCAGATATGAGGTCTTGACCTATCTTCAAAAGTCCGGTAGCAGTTGATCCGATGGTGGTCACCACTAGTTCCAGGGCCAGTCTCTTGTCGATTGCCTGTCTTTTTGAGCCGCGAATCTGGGGGGGGGCCAAAAAAAAAAGTCATTTCGGCCGAGCCACATATCAACGAAGTTTTCGCAGCCCAGACAGGGGAAGTGGATATGAGTACCAGAGTGGAAGATACCCAAGATCTTCCTCTATAAGCTGGAGCACGCTGCCGCCAATCGCCTTCATGTACGCCAAAATATGAAGTCATCTCCAGTCGCGGCCTGACTGGAGAACACCTTTGGAATTCACGTCGCCTCCAAACAGCTGCGAAACTTCTTGAATGAAGTCATCCACAGATAGCTACCTGGAGGTCAGTACTCTTGATCTGCAAGACCTCCCACATCGACCAGCTACGGCAACGTCGCTACGGTCTAGGACATCATCTTCACCGTATTCGCCGAGGCGCGAGTTGATGGTATGGACCGGGGTACCTGGAAAGGGGAAGACCGATATTTTCTTTGTAGACCCCGACTGAAGGTGAGCGCTGGCGGTTACATCAAGTAACTCGAGAAGAATATCCTCCCTACATGTGGTCGCCCGTACCTTCTTGGAGCTGCTACAGGTTTGGGTGCCACCACATGGAATCAAAGGGTTTTGGAAAAACTCCCGCTACTTCGAATGGAAGGGCGTTTCGTACCTGAAGAAGATGTAATATTAAAGTATGTCCCCTGACCTGAACCCACTCAATTACTTAGCTCGGGCGGACTTCAAGAGGGTGGTCTACGGTGGCGGAGAAATCGACGATCTCGCTCAACTCCGGTACCCACTCACTTTCGCGCGGCCGATTCTCTCGATGGCGCTCCTCCAGAAGGCTGTGGCGGAGTATCATTATAGTATTTAATGTGCTCTTTAATATGGTAGTAAAAATGTCCGATAAAAATTTAATAAAGTGTAACTTATAGCGCCTTGAAAGTCATGGAGGCAAAATGACTTTTTTTTGGCCCCCCCCCTGTATATACCAGAAAACTAAAATCCATAACAAAATGATAATGCTGTAAGGATGGCTGCAAGCAGGCGTTGTGCAGGCAAATGTATCTGCAGCTGAATAGGTGTGAACATCAGCTGAACTAACCCATGGATGGTTCAATTATGGAAATCAGGTCAAAATGCCAGATTTGGCTAGCCAACATGTGTATAAAAGGTATTTTGACCCGCTGAACACGAATATGGCACTCGCTGAGCGTGAAAACGCCTGTATCGCGCACGACGGGCACCTGTACACCCCAATATTTTCCTGCACTACAAGGCTTCTACAAGGTGCCTAGGCGCATTCATAAATGGACGCAAAGTTTTCTTCAGGCAAGATTAGGTGAGCACTGAAGTAGTAGTGAAGCAAAACACTTTTGCCAGTGTTTGCGCAGGAAGCAAAAAAGTGAGCCCAGCAGGGATTCGATCCCACGACCTGTTGCGTGGTAAATGCGGTGGAAAAAGCCCCATAACTCCGTTCAGAGAATCGTTCCGCAAAAACGGAGGGTAGATTTGGATTCAGCGGCTCAAGACACGTCCACATGTGTACATCTCATTGCAAACGGCCGGGTCGACCTGTTGGGGTTCCCTTGTGAGAAGCTAGCGTGCTTGTCTATGGTCAGACGGGTGGCTGCTCTTCTGAGCGGGGAACTCGCCGTATCTTGCTGTTCCGAGTTTTGTTGAAATTTGTGATTCGCAGGGACGGTGGTTCAGTTGCATATGGGCTGGCTTATCCCACGCATGAAGATATTCTAGCTGAAATCATTGATTGATTCTCTTGTCCCAGTCAGTTATTATATTCAAGTGTAGTGTTATTATATTATATTTAATTGCCACCAGCCCTGTCTGATGGTGAGAATATAACAGCACTGTCTCAACCGTCAAGCTCGGCTGTCTGGTGCCCACGAGTGTATAGGAAAAATGCGCCTTCGAAGGGTGGGCCCGCTTTCAAAAGTGATGACTTGTACGGCTCACGTAGTAATAACAACGTAGCAACTGATTTAGTAGGGAGGAAGAAAGCAGAAAAAAAATCGTGGGAAACGTCCTATATAGAACCTCAGTCCGAATTGAGGTTGTTGCATAAGGCGAAGAGAATTTGTGGTCGCACGAGTTCTCACTTGTTGGTATCAGCTGTTTTCCCTTATCACCTCACTCTCACCATTCGAAGTGGAGAGAGTTAGTAGCGGAACAACCGCACCATCAGGCAACCATTAGAAATGAAGTTGGGCGTAGTGGTCGCCAGGTGGGTGGGACGGTAACTTCTAGCGGGCGACGCTATCTTCTCGCATTTTTGAGCTGCGAGATTAATACATCCTCTATCTTTATAGGCAACGGTACGGTATCTAAAGAGGGCATAGAAACATCAAATGAATGGGCTCTGCCTCTAGGTGCCTTCGATCATTGATTCCTCCATGGTTGGGTTCCTGGTTTCGAGAGCCATCATGTTTTGTTTATCAGTTTCCCCGCTCCCCGCCATGTCGATTGTATAGGTAATCACACCGTTGAACAACAGTCCATATCCGAGATGGAAAGGGGCATCTTCAAGTAAGCCCGGCGAAGACTGCGAGGGTTGAGACAGAAGACAGGCATTTGTGTAAAAACACGAAAGAGAGAAAGGCGGCACGTGAACACGCTGCCTCTTCTCTCAGTCGTCGCTAAATGTGCTTAGAAGCGCGTGAGAAAAGCTCAAAAACGCCCCTCCTTGTTCACCGTTGTGCATTTTTTCTTCCCATATGTATACGTGCATATAACTTGTAAAAAAACTGCAGAAAAAAAAACTAGAAGAAGCAGATGAAATCAGACTTAGGACGATCGGATGGCGTCCGAATTCAGCCTAATGACTCTGTGACCATAGCTCTAGTGTTTCAGAACCAAACGATTAGAATTAGTAAATAATTCGTTGGGATATGCTGTAATCAATAGGTTTTACAGCTGGTGGTATGGATCCAATACTGATGGAATTCACGGATGTTTGTCGGCATTTCCTTGGAAGAGGTGGAGAGTATCTTGCCGTTGTGTTCTCAGTAGTCGTCCTACTTGGAGGCATCATGGTCTATTGGGTTCTCATGTCGAACTTTCTCTACTACACAGGAACCGTTGTTTACGGTAGGGCATGGACTTCTTCAGATTATCATTTGTACCTTGTGAGGCGAGTAGCGCTGCACCCTCTTCTCCTTCAGCAATCGCTAAATTTAAATATTTGTTTCGATTTCAGAATCATTGCAAGCAAACAGTTCCACCATTCCTATTATGGAAAACAAGACGTTCACTTGTGACGGTGAGCTTTGTATCTCTTTCGTGTATTTATTGGTATTTTTTGAGGTTTCATTTACTTCAAAGACCTCACAGAACGTACCACCAGTTTTGCGGGAACACAAAACAAGCCGCCGAGAGCAATACCGCAAAGGCTGGCAACACAAGACAACCTCCTTACAGTCAGAAACAGAGAGCGATCGCGGAAATAAAAACCAAGCTCCTATAGTTAATCATCAAACGTCAGAAATTTGGGAATCCATGCACGCAGACCACATGTGATCACTTCCATCCAAGTGAATCATCAAGGCCAAATAGTTGGAATTTTCGTGAATGAAGGGTTCCAGATGAAATTCCATCTCCTGCGGACGGAACTCGAGGTTGCTGCGCACTTTCCTGAGTATCTAAGGAGGACCCAGCACGGTTGTCCTTAATGTTAGTAATGATTCAATTCATTGTCGTCACGTCGTCGGCATTTCAGAAGGTAGCATTACCGGAATAATCTCGATAGTTTTCATGAGAAGTCTGTTCAAACATTGACGGATATCGTGTTTCCGGAGTAGAATCCACGATCCACACTTTACAGTATGAAGGCATGAAGGCACTACTGGCGCTGAACGGGCACCATTTTCCAGGTCACCGTTCAAGAGTTCACTGCATGCTTTTTTATACAAGATACGTAGAGGACTGGTGTGGTCGAAAGTGCCACGTTCACCATACGCGCAGTCCAGTCCGAGGGTCGATTTCCGGATCGGCCCTCACCCAGGGCATAGAAGTTTACTGTTTCCTTCGGAAACGGTGAATCGGAAGCAGATTGGTCTTGGCAGATAAAAACATTGATTTATACTGGCTGGCTTATCTGCAAATCGTTGTACAGGCCACATTGCACTTAATAAGCCACTATAATTCCGAAATTAAATCAAAAGCGTACTGCATCTCAGAAAGGGATTGATTAACGAAGAAGACCATCATTTTTCATTCTTTGTAAACCTCTCAAAATTTCGTTACCAACATTTGTTCCAATCTAAAAGTGTTGTAGAAAGCAAGGCTATTGCTTCTGGGCACACTGTGAGGTGTGCCCCCATTTCTGGATGTTAATTTGGTTGTTACAGAAATGTAAAAAAAATTTACAGTGTACTGTCCATTGGAGAGGTCATCTTTAAATTATCTGGAAGAAGGAAGTAAACAGCTTCTGGAACAGCTGTCTCAACCGTCCTGGGATTTCGATAGTCTCTGGCAATTGCAGGTAGTGATTTCTGACTTTCTTTAACGGCTGACCATACGAGCTCTGTAGAAGAGAGTGGGAGTTGGTAAAGGGGCATCAATTCTGATTATTTTGTATTTTTTCAGGGTACCGTACCGATTTATCTGGCCATTATAACTTTTCCTTTGATGAACTTCAAATCGCCGACATTCTTTACGAAATTCAATGTGTTGGGAACTTTATCGGTATTCTATCTGCTAACATTTACTGGTTCAAAACTGCTTGAGTGCGGTTTGAATATGAACTTCGATGACCCAAATTCGATTCATTACGCTAAAGGTGAGGTCATTACTTATATACTTCTTTTTTATACTTATTTCCCCTTCTCTTTTCAGCATTTAGCTGGCGATTTCCCGCTTTGACTGGTACTTTAACATTATCGTACTTCATTCATAATGCGGTGCTTACCATCCTTCGGAATCAAAAGAATCCCGAAAACAATGTGAGTGAAGCAGTAATTGTATCGTTGCTTTATTGGTTGTTGCTGTGACACATCAGAGATTCTGAATACATCAGAATGGCGCTGGTAGGCTTGGAAGGGACATTTTGCATTTTCTCTTTCTTGTCAATCTATGCGGTAGCAGGAGCTTTATTCACACATTCACACTGGCAGAGTGTGACTAGAGTGGAACTACAGGATTTCTTCAGATTCGTCGGCAGCGATCGATGAAGACCAACAAAACTCCCCCCCCCCCTTCCAAGAAGCCGAATTGCTCCCAGGCCATGTATTTTGTGCGACCAAAGGGCATCACTAGGAGTGTGTCTAGCAAATATGTGTTGCCGACTCATCCATTATGTTCTCAAAAACCTTATACTCCTTTAACAAAAAGTGTAACTTTATGGAGTAGTGAATGACTCGTCTGATCTTCTTGAAACCTGGGCCCTTGTAGAATTGTCCCTGGTGCTTTTCCAGGCCAGCCGGAATTATTGCCATGGAACCGCTTTTATTGGTCGACATTGCGGTTCGAAGTTCTTTGTAGTGACCCGTCAAGCGCAACTAGTTTGCAGCAAAGAATCAGTCGCCAGGGTGGGCCAAGTGAGTGTGGGGTGTTATTTTCAGTTACAGCCTCACATACTAGTTGACGCAGATAGAGTCGACGCAACGCCGTGGGTCTTGATGACGGTGCTGCGTAAGTCGCTGTGCATGCAGAGCTTACTTCTCCGCACTGGCAGCGATTGGGGAGTAAAGCGTCACATCCGTCCTTAAGTAAGGATTCGGAGCAACTTTCAGGCGAGAAATCGACGACTCAGAGCTGGAGAGCGAGGCTGTGTGCTTTTTAGACATGAGGCATCCGAAGATGTGGTCTTCAGGAATCGATAGCCTAGTAAAGCGTCGGACGTAGTAGATCTTCATGATGATTGTTTTGTTGATTGATTTTGTAGTCGAAATACACGCACTTTATACCCCCTACCCCCGATTCCCTGGCTGACGCTGTTGTACCTCTCTCTCAGCGTACTTCACCTCATCTTTATCTTCCTATCTTTTTTGGATTCTATCATAGTTGAACTGTTCATAATTTCCTATTTGCTTTTTTCGACAGAGGGGAGGTAGCCATATAAGTGAAAGGGCTTCTCGCTGCAGCTTCAGAGTTGCAGAGGGCTGAACTGAGTACTGAAATAAAACATTAATATGCTCGTAGAATCCATTCCCGAGTAGAAGAACAAGAGCAGCTTCCGAGATGCGCAGCTGGGAAGTCTCAGAATTCTGATGATCCATGGTAAAGCAAGTGGCCTTAAAGGCAGTTGGCGCGATAAATCCCTAAAATGAGTAGAATTAATGCGCCTGGCAGGACGGAATTCCGCGCCCCTGAGCAGGCGCTGCGTAGCGCCTTTTCCAGGAAGGTACCCTTATAAGGCCCTATCAAGCTGCAACATACCGACCCGGACGCCCACCGCGCCCGCCCGCCCACAAATGGACGACCGTACCTGATGCTCGTATTGCTTCATTTGCGAAGTAAAATGTGAAGCGAAGGGATTGATATGAAGCGGCATGGACTATGAGTACATATGTGCAGCCGTATCTACCGTAGCGGTTATTGGCAAGATGCCTACGGGAAACTCGTCCGAAATTGCTTGAGTCATAAGAACGAAGGCTTTTCTTCGCAGTTTTTGACCGTTTCACTTCGTTTTTTCGCCATTTTCCCACTATATAGTACCCTGCTAGCATTTTAGACCGAGTACCAAATTATCGTTCCATATGCCTGTAAACTTTTGGACGCCGGTAGATTTCTCACAAAAAATCCCATCGTAGGTCATACTACACGGCTACCTGTGATTCACTCGGAATCCTTGGAAAAGGCTGAAGCTTTGGTATGAATTAAGCATCATGTTATTTAGGCTCGTGATCTCTCAATCGGTTACCTGTTAGCTGCACTGTGCTACATGTTTATTGGTTTCACATTTTATGCTGGCTTCCCAGTGCAGAGATCCTGTATCAGTGACGTAAGTTATTATTTCTTATTAAACGTCCTAGGACCTTATCCACCTAATGTGTTTATTTTTGTAATTTTGTACTGAAAGAGAAACTGCCGACACATCTTCCGGGGGCGTGCGACGTTCTCCGGTCAAAAGTGCAAAACGGGAGCGGTACTGGAGTAGTACCCAGGTACGGTCTCTATGCTCCGTCTGCGGTGTCATCATTGAGTCGACATCAAATCCCGCAGCGGTCGCGCAGTCAGATTGAACAGCCGGAAGTGACAGGGCGCGACAGATGATGCGTTCGGCTACGATTGGGCGTGAGTCTGGACGTGCGGCAACGCGGGTCGGAGTCCAGAAACGGTACCTGGGCGTCTTTGCCATCTAGCCCTTTCCCGTGCACTTTTGGACGGGAAAAGTAGCATGCTACTGCAGCTACGGATTCATCCTCTTGCAGGGGAACCACTATTTTGTTCTGAAAGGATAGTCGGGTAAAGGCGTCAGTAAGTCTCATGAAAATTAAGTCGCAAAAAATATAATTTCAATATTCGTGTATAAAAACTGGATATGAAGAAGAGAGACGGCTACAGAATACGTTCTGGGCTATGGTAGTTCTCTAAAAAGAAAAAATGGTTGTGCACACTCGGTAATAACGAAGTGAAAAATGGATTATGTATACAAAAGCTGAATAAGTGAAGCAAAAATTGTTAAAAAGGAAGCTTTCACATGTAATAGGATTAGGCGAAGTATGTTCTGTAATGGCGTATGACCGTACATACCGTTCTTTGGCTGAATCTGCCGTAGTTGAATCTTTCACATATTCTACACTTCCTACAGATTAGTTCTTAATGGTGTTTAACCTCTCTGTTGACGTTCTCTATCCGCCCTTGTTTGACCTTCTGTTGATTAGAATCTAAATATTGGAATCACGTCAGAAAGTATACTTGCGAAAAAAAGTTGACAATTGTGTCAATATACCCAGTCCATATTCAAGCGAAGTGACAGCTCATTTACTCTTCTTCTACTAAATGATACCTCAAGCTTTAAGACAAACCCCGCGATTCTATATTGTGAATAATGGCGTTCAATTACAACCTATTAGTTGTAAAACGACTCTGCAGGGAAGAAAAAAAAACAAAATAATCATGGAGAATGCCCTAAATATCTATAATAATTATAGAGAATGGCCTAAGTAGGATCTGGCAGCCTCCCTGGACAAGTTTTCTGGACCTGCTCGTTTTATGCCAGCAAAGCGATGTCATGTCGCCTCTGGCTTATTCGTTTCTTCGCGTCATCGAAAACTAATACTAGATAACAAAGGGAAAATAAGGAAACGACGGTGCGAATCCTGAACTTGTTACAGAAAGATAGCCTTCGAGCATTGGTGGGGGGAACGACTAGGGAGGCGTAAGAACACTGCCACAGTGGCAGTGTTCTTACGCCTCCCTAGTCGTTCCCCCCACCAATGCTCTAAGGCTATTTTCTGTAACAAGTTCAGTATTCGCACCGTCTTTTCCTTATTTTCCCTTCGAACAACCTGAGTGCAGCTGTCGTTAATATGCCAGTTTGTAATGCCAAAGTTTGTCGAAGTGCAGTGTCTGTAGGAAATGGAAACAAGATACAAAATGATTCGGAGGAATGGCTCTACTATTCCCTCCCCTCTACCACGTTAGAGAACAGGGGCCGTATAATGGGGCGCTGCAGCGAGAGGGGTTCTGTTTAGTTGCAGGGAGAAGGGATTCATATTCGCCCTCATATATTTCCACCCTATATCCTCCCCTGCCCTACGCTCAATGACAGTCTTTTAAGGCAGAACTAGAGAGGCGCTCCGAAAAAGTTTAGAGTTGAGAGAATGTAGGAAGGTGGTAGGTAGAATGCCCAGGGGTGGGGAAGAGGGCCGTGTCAGTGGAGCACGGGAGTCGTATTCTGCAGAATTTTTCCTCAACGGCAGGACGTGCCCTGGTAGGGGAACCGTCGCTGACCGGGCCGACACGGTCAAAGGGAGGATATCTGATTCGTAGTTGATGAAGTGGTCTGTGTACTGTCTCATATTCATACCGAGCTACTTTAACCTGACGATAATGTCAGATATCTGGCTAATACTTTTACTTCTTCTTGTATCCAGGAAGCCTCACCTGATTTGCTCCGGCACGTGATTTGATCAGTGCACAGAAAAAAATGATTGACGGATGAAGTCGACTGTTTATTCGGGAGGAATATTATTTGCACGGAAAGTCCCAGTTGACAGTGTAGGGAAACATGGTAGACGATAGCGAGGGACTCCCTTCTTGCACTGGTTCTTTAGGAAAAGGTGTCCAGTAGGAAAATTCAAGAGAGACATTTCAAAAAGAGGAAAGGAGAAAGGTTGTTTTTTCTAATCAGAAGACTGTCGGGAACCTTTTCTGTGCTGCTACTTCTGTGCTGTCACGGGACAGGCTCCGTTCCTTTTGCTAGACTTCACTCCAGGGTATATTGCGCCTTCACATCGAAGAGGTCCTTTCCTGACGCGCCTCTCCACCTTCCCTAGAAGGTTTCTCGTGGATACGTACTGTGGACATCGAAATTGGACACATTATTGGGATGAAAACGGCGATGTCAGTAGACACCCCAAAAGGACTACCAACAAACTAACCTGCAGCCAATAAGCTTAAATCCCGTAAATTCTGTATTTCATAAATAAACATTAATTAATGAAATTCACCATCAGATTACGCAGGTAGACACAGAAAAGTGACGTATTACAGAATTTTTTGAACAACTTCGGTGCTGGCGACATTCTTAGTAGTACTGCACGGTTATTCCTACTTTTCCAAATGATCACCGTGCTTCCGCTCCTGATGTTCCTGATCCGATCACAACTTTTCTATGCGTTCGTCGGAAAAACTTGGCCTGGGTGAGATTTTATTTAGTGTTTCCTTTGTGACTAGAGACTAGACCTTTAGTTCTTTCGTGTTCTTCTGATTCGCAGTATTTCAGTCTGGGACCAGTTGTCGTCTTGAATTGCGGCATAATCGCTATTGCTGTCACGGTTGCGATACTGTATCCTAGAGTGGGCAGCATACTACGGTATGGTACTCAATGCTTGCCTTCCAAAAACTTTTCAGGCCCTAATTCACCCCATTTTACTGCTGTGCTTTTCAGTTATGTCGGCTCGCTCTCTGGTTTAATCTACGTGTTTGCTCTACCATGTTTGGTTTACATGCGGAAGTTGCATTTTGAGGGCCAGCTCACTCCTACAAAGCGATTCATTCACACAACAATCATCGCTATTGGTGTTCTGAATTTCATTGCGCAGTTCATTATCTGATCATCTCTTTGTTTCTCTTCATCTTTCGATTGTTAAAAGTTGTACCCGCTGCGGAACATGTTGAACGGGATTGTCTTTTTTAGTCGTAGTCATTATTTTATCTATTTATTGTCAACATTTCACTTTGCATTTCATTATCGGTACATTTCAAAATGCTTCTTTCATTTGTATTACTTGAGATTGATAGGCTCAGTTCTTTATGTTTTGTAGCTGAGCTACTCAATTTATTTGGTAGAGCGGCATAAATAAAGATTCAATCACTGAAATTGATTTCTTGTTTCTAAAGCGTACCTAATCCTCTTTACTTCTGCATTTACATGTTCTTCCCGAGTTACTATTGCTGTGTTGGGTGTGAATGCTTCAATAATAGTGATGCAGTCGTGATCTTTACAAAAAGACAGGGCGCGTGATAAGAGGGAGCGCAGCAAAGGTGGCCTTTTCCACCAATGGTAGCGGGCTCAGGACGGCACCATTGGAAGAAGCCGCTCTAGCTGTACTTCAATACACGCCCCGTCATAAGCCCCTGGTTTGCTGGGATCATGACTCTAACTTGGTTGGAGAAACGGCATCGCATGTCCCTGTCCAAGCAGGGCACGCGGTACATTGGGGATCTCCAGCGAGGGGTCATGTTTGGTCGCTGGGAATCCCCAATGTCCCGCTGGACTAGAGAGTGCGTATTAGTTTTGTGAATAATATTTACGGTTGTTGACTCTCGGTTTTTCCTGGCACGAATCCTAGCACCGCTCGACAGCAGCTTTTTTTTGGGAGGTGGTGGGAAAGCGGAAGAATTCTGAGAAGTACCGGGAAAGTGGTAGGGTTTGCGGAAGGGGGGGGGTCGGGTAGTACTAGAAGAAGTAACTTTGAGGGGGTTCTATTTTGCAAAACTTTTCTCCAGCGGCGGGACGCGCCGTGAACACAAGCTTTCCTTAGCCGTTTTGAAGGCTTTGGTGAAACGGTGTCGGAGAGGATGGCAAGTAGGTTCAGTCGGTGTAAAACAGGATAAGATCAAATAGGATAGACAGAGGTAAGATAAAACCTCTGCGCCACGTATTCTAGCAAAGGCAGAGCTGCGGGAGTACAATGGTCGTCGTTTTCAAGGAGATTGGCTTAGTTCTTGGATACTCTTAAGTCCCATTCCTCCGTTTTCTTTCAGCGTTGTCAAAAAAAAAGATTTGAGAGTATTGCGAAAAAAACTCCGCTCCAATTTTCAGAACTGGATTCTTTGTTGTTATATATTCAAGAGACGACTGAAGGTTCCGTTTTAGTGAAGGCATCTAGAAGGTATTTTGTTCGGAAAATTAGTTTTCAAAAAAAGATGTTTGCTTAGCTGCATAACAAGTGATGTAATTGTTCTCTTTTTGGTCAAGGGACGCTCAAATTTTATGAGACAGGTAACAAAAGAGAGAAAGTGACAGCTGATTGGTGGTATTTCCAGTTGTCTGCTTACTTCCACCAGCAATGCTGCGTCCATCACCTATCTTTTAAACGCCTTTGCGGTGACGTCGAATGATATGCGCTACGTGGAACGAGTTCGCCTTCTTGACTATTGGGGGATTCAAGACTCGGCTTTGGCCAGGTATCCCCTTACCATTTTTGTTTCGGTGGTGCTAGCATATACTTAGGTTGTCCCAAAAGTTCTGGGACACTTTCAGACTTTTTTCCGAATTAAGTTTATTCCAGTGGGAAGCAATTTTGATCAGCTATATGTATGTCACCTTCATTGGCAACTTGTTGCCAATCACTACGCAATGTGTGGTTGCCCTGCTTCCAGAAGCCTCTTAGTTCTGTGGCCAGAAAGGCAGCTGGGTCATTTTTCGAGGTACTATCAAAAATCGTATTTTTTTTTACCAAGAAGATGGCCGCTGTGGGATTAGTTTGGATGGTTGTCGGAAAGAGCTAAGTCAGGGCTACACGAAGACTGTGGTGGAATTCCCCAGCTAAGCTTCGGGATCTCGAGCAGTGTCGTTTTCCAAATGTTTGACCCTGAGGTGTGGTGGAGTAGGCAAACATTGCTCGGTTTTGGGACCAAATGGTAGAGATTTTCCACCCCACTTTGCAGTTGATTACAATAGGGCTCCCTGGTTACCATAGCGTTGGAAGGAGGGAATTCCGTTTCGAGAGCGGAGAAAGGTACCCCACCACATACACAGCCTCACCGCCCTACTGGATTGATAGGATTGCGCGATCGGTTCTGCCCTTTCTGGGGGATCTAGCCGCTGGCGCTCCCAGGAGTGATTCACCTAGAGGCACCCACTCCATATCCAGTTACAGTGCTGTTCAACCAGCCTGTACAGCGGAAGCGGGAGAGAAGTTGTAGACAGTACCCACATGTGCTCCCCTTGGAGTACTGGTCAACTCATGAGAAAAATTTTGATCGAACTTCATAACTTTTCTAAGGGAGCGAGGCCTTCTCTCATTTGTGCTTTGGGACCAGTCAAGTGTAAGGAATAGATATTAGGTCATCCCATTCAAACGTGCCGCTGGTTTTTTTTGAATAAAACAAAGAGGAGAATAGATAGAAAAGTGATATTTTAGCTTTAGGATGAGTAAATCCCTCCTTCACCAATGACCCGCTCCCAGTGCCCCGAGGGCCTTTGGACCTCTGGTACCTTCGATTTTTCAATAAGTGTGAGTAAATTGCTGTTGTTGCCAATTTCGGCAAAATGACAAAACTATATGCTAGCGTCTCGCCTGGGAGAGTCTTCTCGAGATTGAATAGAACAGTTGTAATCGCATGGCTTTATGACGGGCGAATGGGGCGATTGAACCCAGGTCTCAGTATTGTTTGTGTCCCAGCACTGATCTACAATACAGTTACTCGGGGTCTGGCACTATGACGAGCAACGGTGGCCTTCTTGTAGTTGTGTGGTAGCATCCATTTGTCGATCTGAATGCCGAGGAACAGGCAATATGCACCGACAGTGACGGATTTGTTCTCTGTATAGAGCCGCTTGAAAGCCACAGTGTGGGAATCCTTTGCTATGATGATCATCCACTTGCGCCCACGTAACTCTTCATGGTAGAACTCGGGCGGCTTCTCATCTGCATTCATACAAAATTGACGATTGTGAGTTTCGGCTCGAGGTCCGAGACCACCCATATTTCATCTAAGGCCTGGGTGCGTTTTCACAGTTGTGAGTGACATCTCATGCTGAGAATATTACTGCTAGAGATATAGAATTGGTACTGCGTTCGTCTTCTATAAGAAAATTGGGTACCCATGCGCACACCCCCTTGACCATCCTCAGTTTATCGGACATAACTCGGGCAGCAGTTGCAGCTGGGATGTCAGACTCGCGGGGAAGCTCGACAAGGGTCCAGGCTCTGTGATCAGATATTCAGTGCCTGACTTCATCCACCCTTTTTTCTTGTGCAGGATGAATATTATGGGACCACCCACGACAACAAATTTTTTCCTTTCTTCCTTGTACGGGCTCCTGAACCAAATCTTCCACCGTGTATTTCGAGAACACCCTTACACACAACTATGGTCCGGCGCAGGTCAAATTTGAGCGGCGCACTTTCCTCTTATGACGTCTGATTTGAAAAACCGGCGCCGATTTTCACCACTCGGGCTTCTTTTCAATTTCTCGAGAACTTCTTCAGAGGCTAGGTTCGCCAAATTTCACAGATACACAGCTTAAGGTACTAGCTTCCAAATGGTATAGTAGCCCGCTGCTCTATCCCCTTTGCTTTTCTGCCATTCCTCTATATGTAGCGGCACGTTTGAATGGGATGACCTAATAGCAAGTTGATTTGTACGTATTGGTTTTAATCAAGGAACACAGTAGGTCCAAATCCAAGGCAGGTGGCCTCCTTGGACGAAGTTTTTCACCCGGATAGAAGTCACTAAAGCAGAAGCAATTGAGCCATTCCAAAGCCGTACTGTGGAAGCTAACATCAAGATCTAAATAAGGGAAATGCCGCTTATGGCTCGAACCACGTTGTGGCTTGGTAGAGATCCATATAGCGAAGTGTGTCGAAAATGATGAATTTCAATTACCGTTTTTCATATGAGAACAGCGACTGCGAGGGACGGTGAAGAAGCTGTGGAATGCTTACCTCACACACTTCCCATAGACCACATAACTGGATCTCGAAATGGCTGCGGAAAAATCTGATACGAGATTCAAAAAGTGTCCCAGAACTTTTGGGACAACCTAATACTACTTGTTTAATTCTTGCAGAGTATTTCGTAGGTCCTGTAAATTTGTATTATGTAGCGTGAAATTCTGCGGCCACACTATCTGGTGGCAAGAAAAGGTGAGGTGTTATTATGTGAAGAAGCGATTGTGAGCTAGGTGGGTGGGAATCCCTAAGCCTGAGTCGAGGGGGAAGGGTTTACGAGGCAGCTGAACAAATTACAGGAAGTAATTAGTTTACTAGCATCACGTGTATATCGCCTCTAGGACCTACACAAATCCTTCATACATATGGTGGCTCACATGGCATTGTTTCTTCGCATCTGCTAGCATTATTGTTAATACTGTCTGTTCTTTGAAAGGCATCTAAAGAATGGCCTGGGAACGAAATCCGTACCTCTTTGCAGCTTTACAGGGGTTTACAATAGTTTAATCTTACAAAATGGTTGAGAATGTTGACAGGAATCGCCTCAATGTCCCATATATGGGAGCCGTTCAAGTAAGTAGTCGTAAGTTGCCGCTTCGACGCACGCGGCTGTGGATGCTTATCTTACATTGCGCTAGCCTGTCGGTTGGAGCAACGAATTTTGTTTAAACTACGTCATCGTGGACATTTATGGCAATTTTCTACTACTCAGCTACTTTCAGCTACTTTCAGCCTTCACGGCCCGGAGGCATGGTCATTCGCATGCGCGACGTCGCACGCGAAGCCCACCTGGGTGCCGAGTTGCTATTGTCTCCCCCCCCCCCCCCCGCCCCCCTCTCCGCTGCGCCATCCCCATACAATCACCAGTCTCTTTTGATCACGGAATAAATTCGTTTGGAGACAAATTATACACTCACCTTCAAGTACGGTCT